TTTCATGCATTTTCATTTTCGGCAGTCATCAGAGTTGCTGAACTTAAGGTGGAAGTGTTGTAAGTGGTTTGCGACCTTTCGTAAGGATTTTAACACGAAATCAACAAAAGGGAAGGGAAGATTGAAAATATAAGAAGAAGAAAGAAGTTTTAGCTGCTCGGAGAAGGGTTGGGTTGCCGAGAAGTCGTTTAAGGTATATTTTGGCGAATCAATTATATTTTGAGTAAATCACCTTATGAGCTAAGATATCCTAAATTCCTAAGTTTAACATTTTAGGTATTTATCTGAGACCACATGTTCAAGGCAAGCATGTGAAAGCTATTCGTAAGATGGCTTCGTAAAATTTAGGTAGATTAAGCATATGCTAAGAAGAATATTTCGATTAACATAAATTGCTCAAATCTTAAAGTTTGATATTTTATTTTATATGATATTAAGATCAACATAAAAGTTATCGCAACGTCCAACTTGTTGTTGAAGATTAAGAATTTAATGTGACAACCTTGGTAAATAATTATATTTGTAAATTTCAACAATCTTCTTTATTTTAGAATGTGTGTTTGACTTTATGAATGCTCTAGTTTTGTTAGATTCATCATATTATTAGATGGAGAATATATGTATGACAAAAAAGATATACAAAATATGCATGAAAATAGCATGATATATATGATAGACATGATATATAAGATAAACATGATATTGAAGATATAAATGATATAAGAGATTAACATGAGATAAAAGATATGAATAATATGAGAGACGCAAGATATGAAATATATGTATAATGATTAGACCAATGCTTACTTTCCCAGACAATTTTAATATTTATATTACTAACCGTTATGCAGATGGTATAGTTTCGGTCAGGAGACAGATAAGTGTCTTTCCACCATAGGCAATTGTGATGTTTACATCGCTAATCGTTGTGCCGTCAGAAGCGGACGATTCAATATCGGTCAAAAGTGTGTTAGACTTTGTTGATGGTGCTTCTCACAGAGACAAACATCTATATAAATAGTATAAGACAAGAGTAAAGATAAAGTAAATGTATATAGAAGATTTTTTATAGAGATATAAAAGACCGACATATATATTAACTTGTTTTTCTTAGGTACTGTAGTTTAAAAGTGTGATTACTCATGAGTTATTTTTAGATAACTCATTATGTTACTTTAATATTATTTATATGTTTCAATCTTTTGAACAAGTTGATTTGACGAGAATGAAATGTATAGGAGACAATAACATCTAAAATGATTCATATTTCTACTTTTTAGTTTAATTACTTTATTTAGTTGCTCTTTTATAAATTTTGAATATAAAGTCATGATTAATTTCAAGCCCGGGGTCGTGTCGTGACAGCGACTCTCCTCTCCTATGGGCATGACATGTTGTCAATAAACTCTTCTATCCTCAACAACTAATTCCATACCTTCACGGGTCCTCCTGTTTCTGAAAAGAGAAGCGCTTAATATATTGGAATTGCTTCATATTTATCCATGGGCGTTGCCTCATTACCCCTCACATGAGTTTGAGAACCATGAATTGATTGAGCCATTACAACCATCATCTATGTAAACGAATTTATGGGAATATTAAAATCACTGGACGGGGGATGAATGAGTGCTAGAGGCGCCAAATTCTGCTACTAGGGCTGTCAAAAAAGCTCGTCGTTCGCGAACAACTCGTGTTCGGCTCGTTAAGTAGCTCGTGTTCGGCTCGTTCATTAAGTAAACGAGCAGAACACGAACAAGTTTTTAAAGCTCGAATTATAAACGAGCCGAACACGAACAGTTATTTGTTTGCTCGTGTTCAGCTCATTTTAACTCGAAATAAAAAAAAATTATATAATTATTTATATAATAATATATTACATATTATTTATATAATAATATATTGTATATATTTATATCTAAGTTTAAATCATAACATTTCATGTGGTAATGTGGTTAATCCCTTATTTTGTATATATTTGATCTAGGTTCGAATCCCACACTTTACATTTATTTTTTTCAATTTAATTTTAACGAGTCAATTTCAAGCCGAACACGAGCCAAATACGAACACGAATATTTAAATCGAGCCGGACACGAACACACTGTTCACGAGCCAATTTCGAACACGAGCCGATTTCGAATACGAGCTATTTCGAACGAGCCGAACACTAGCCAAGCCTGAGCTCGCTCAAGCTCGGCTCGTTTACAGCCCTATCTGCTACTCAACAACTTGCCACTCTAGTGTTCCCATATGTTTTGTCTTGATTTCTTTTCTATTAATGTGAAATATCAAAATTATACACTTGTTTCAATGAATATTATTATTGCTATTTAACTTTTTAATGAAAATTAGTAATTTTTTAATGATTCTTGTAATATGATAATTTTCTTACTAGCCCCATACTTGCTCTTTGACATTACTCTTATTATGACTTGGCCTGGAGCTTACAATAGCAAGGCGGGAACGAACAATCAAACAAAGAAATTTTTATCTAAGCGTTTTCATTTCTTAGAGCAAAACATCTAAAGCATGAAGGGTCATTTTATTTCACAAAAAATTACTTTAATATAGTTTGTTCATTTTTAAATTTTGTAACTTTAGAAATGTAAGAACTAAAAGGCTGTAACTATCTCACTGGGCCACTCTACATCTGCACACATAAATTTTAGAGTCCATGCACTCTAAAGAAAGTTTTCTTAGAAAATGTTAACAACTAGAGCTATGATTTAAACTTTTCAGCGGAACATTATGTATAAAAAGACAATAAACAGTAAAAAGAAGACTAAAGAAATCAATTTGTTTATTTCAATTGAAACATTCGTCAATTGGAATTGCCATCTAAATGTATATTAGTGCTTTACATTTTATAACCTTTTTTTAAAATCCACCAAAGTTATATATAACAATTTTCATTTTCATTTCAATTTTTATTTTCATTTCTATTTTTCATGCACGAGTACATTGCATTCCCATCCAATACCATATTTGAGTGATTTCATATATGCATATGCATTTATATCCTATTATTTTTATTTCTTTTAATTTAATTAACATTTGAAAAACATGAAACTTGCATTTAAAAAAAGCACTAAAATAAATAAAATTTATTGCAATTGATTTCATAAATTAAAATATTTTTTGTAAATTAAAACTATATTTACCTACCCGTTTAATGCAGTCCCTTTTTGTTTCCTCCTATGAAACTACTCTTTTGGTGCATCTATACTAAACAAATAAAACTAAATTAGTTTATATCCATTTTGTCCTTTTTCATCTGAATTTTAACCTAAATACATTTTATCTAATTAAGTTATTCTTTGTTTCTCCATATGTAAATATATTTATTCTTATCTTTAGAGTTTTTAATTGAAATTTTTTTGCAACACATCTTACTTAGTGTGAAATGTTTTCATTCATTAATCTTAATACATGTAATAATATGTAATAGCAGAACCAATTTTACTTTCAAGTATTTGTTAAAGCTTCTGAAATTCTCTATTTGATATGCTTAAACTATACTATGTTTAAGTCTGAGATTCTTAAATTTAAATCATTATTAATTAACTAAAAAACTAAGAATTAAATCTTAAAATTGATCTTCATACCTAAATTTTTCGCCCAACAACAAAGTCATTTACTGACCTAGTGTGCTTGTTAAAGTCCTAAAATATGGTTTTACACATTTTCAGGAATTAATTTTTAGGTTTATGAAATTTCTTAAAAAATTCAACAAAAATTTATAAAACATGAAAAACCAAAAGTTTGGGTTTCAATTTTTTGCACCTAATAACGACAATACTCTTTTATTTCCTTGTTGTCAAGCTACCTCTTCCATTTGGAGCTAAACTACACACGGTTGTGTGTCTCCCCCATGCGGGAAATAACTTCTGCGAGCCTCTGAGCATCTTCTGGCCTTAGAAAGCTCAACACGCAAGCACATGTTGGGTTAGGGTTTGATTACCGCCTGCACAGTGTGTCGATTTGCACAACCCAAAGAAGCCGCATCTCGATCGCCTCCCTCACTCTTCGAACACAGGTTCACGCACTGCAGCCAGCTCCCTCGCAAGTGGCTCTGGCCAGTAGAGTGCGTCAAGAAGGATTGCTCCAGTCTACAATTGCTTAGCCGATTGACTCTCTCACGCATGTTAGTTTCTATGATTCACATGATGAAGGAATTAATTGCTTGGTCTATACTTATCGCCCAACCTTTTGGTGTCCCACTACCGCCCTCACACGAAACTTTTTCATGCTCCCTTTGGCTTCAATGCCTTTGCTTTCACTCGTAGCCGCTCAAAAAAATCTTGTTTGAGCTACTTGAACGCTCTGCTTCACTTGCGCCTTCTTCTTCCTTCCTTTTCCACGCGCTTTCTGTCCCTCTCTTCCTGGTGCATTCCGTTCAAACAAAACAAAGTGATAAAGCCCTCGTATAAGATTTCCCTTGGGCGGCGAGGCAATCTTCGAGCAGGTGAGCAAGTAAATAGTAAATTTTTTTCGTCATTAGTGAAATGTAAAAGATTGTCATTACACCCCACAATAGACATCATCATTATCATTATCACTAGTAGGATCATTGTGGACTTTAAAAATTCATATATGGCTATTTTGAGGGAGCGTGTGTTCTAAATTTTCAGAATGTAGATTGTTTTTTTTTTCCTTTTGATAAGACACTATTCAGATATTTTATCCTTATTTTGTGACGACAAGATCTGGTCCTAGGTTTTTCATAGGCTTTAAGTCTTTATGTAGTAGTTCAGATTGTTTTGAGGTTCTTGGAATGCTGGACGTAAACTAGGAATAAAACTGTGAAAGGTTAGTGATACTGGATGATGATTGAGAAACTTAAGCTCAAGAATGCCTTGGCTGTCTCACACAAGTCTCTACTCTCTTAGGATAGTAAGTTGAAGGTCAAGCATTTATTTTAGAGTTTACAAGAGAATCTAAAGCATTGGAACTTAATAAAGCTTTACTCTTGTTTATCAATGTACCTTTTGATTGGGCAGGTGTATGTGTTGAGAAGGGAAGAAAACAGAATCTTAAAGAAAATCTCTTTCTTTTTGCCTAGTGGTAATTTTTAGCTTTGCTTTCTATTAATCTTATACTTTGTTTCTTATTAATTTATTCTGAAGCAGTGCAATTACAGGTATCGATGATCGAAGCTCTCAAAGAAACTTGGTTGTTTCTCTTTATTGTTCACTGAACTTGCTTGAAGGTGATACTGGGTATGGATAAAACAGTTTGGCAATTCTATAGCTTACACTAATTTATGTGTTCAAAACACAATATGATTTTATTTATTTATTTTTGTGTTGGTTTATGCATTTGGATTTATAAATGTAATTTCTCCAATATGAAATTCATTATCACGCTGAAGAAAACAATCATGTTTAATCGGAAGTGTTGGTCAATGATTAATAGTGCATAAGCGGTTGTCCAGATGCAAGAGATCAATTTTTTTTTTTTTATAGTAAACATTTTATGTGAATTCCCTAGCTGCAAATTTGCAACTTGTGGAACTCTCTCTATTCAATCTCCAAAAAAGAAACTCTCTCTATTCAATCTCCAAAAAAGAAACTCTCTCTCTCTCCCCCTTACATTCCCAAGCTTTGCATGTTCCATGCATACTTAAAAGGTGGGGATTTCCTTGCTTAAATATCTACAAGTTCTGTTATTCTGATCAGTTTTAATTTTCAGAGCGTGCAATATTGTTTATAGGGTATATTACTCCTCCCTATGCTTTGGTCTTGGAAATTTGAACTACTTAACCCGACTTTCAAAACCTTATGCATATGTTGTTGAGGTTGGTTTACAGCTCCTGTCGTCATGCTGGTGATAAATTTTCGTTGGCATCTCAGTGATTGAGAGCTTAACAACAACAACAAAAATAAAACCTTTATCCCACTAAATGGAGGTATCCATCTTTTTCTTCTTCCAGTTTTTGCTAATTTGCCTCATGAAGTTGTTGACAGTTGATGAAAAAAGTAACATATGGTTTGGCTCACTTGAATGCTCGATTAAGAAAATTAATTTTAAGTATTGAAAATTTATCTGCGTCATATATTGTATTTGATTTCATCTGGATTTAGTTTATATCATTCAACCTTCAAGCACTTTTGTTCTTGTCTGTTTATAAGTTATAAGATAGGCAGGCCATTTTAAATGTCCAGAGTGGCCAAGCCCTAACACCACGTGGGATTTGTAAGACTGATATACTTTAATTAAATAAAGTTGTCAAAATTTGAAACTTGATATCACTTGAAAATTGTTTCATTCTTTATTGCTTTGATTTACTTTTTGTTTTTTGTTTCTGATTCTGAAGGCAGATATTATGTTCTCCTTTTGGAATTATTAGATGCAATTAAGTTTTTTAAATTATTTGAACCACAAATTGTTTAATTTTTTATTGTTTGTGAAAGAGCATTTTATACATAAACTTAAAGAATTCTGCTGGCTGATATATCTAATTTAAGATCTGTAGGTCTGGTGGTATTAATTTTTTTGATGCACTTTCTTAACTTTAATGGTTATTCTGTGGATGAAGTACATAAAAATATTGGTTTATCAAGAACATTTTGCAAAAGTTCTTTCATTAGTAACTGAATTAAAATGAGGATACAATGAAGACTCAAAATAAGAAGAAGAACCACCGCACAAAGCAAAAGTGTGGAAATAATTACAAACAAACGAGGCAACAAGAAGACATAATGCTCTTGATAAGGAGGGAGTTCGGGGTGGAGGTGCAAGGCTGGTTAGTTGCGGTGAAGGTTTTGGGGGGGG